TTGAATAATTCCCATAAGTGAAAATCTCAAATTTCACATCGGCTACGTTCTAAACGCACCTGGAATAAAACGTTCAACTCGTACTGAAGCCAAGTATATCGACAATGCTAATAAAGTGTTAAATTCATCTGCAGATGCTCCGCATCAATAGGTTTGTTCATTTTAGCTGAGCTAAATTGCATTCTTTTTGCCTTCACACGGGGAAAAAAATTTATTGTTATAATAAAACTATCGTTGCTACTATATATTCGTTGCAACAGTAATAAAAAAAGATAAAAATAAAAATAAAATTTAGTTCGCATAATCAAATTAGCGAATTATTCGTAATTAGAGCAGAAAGAGTTTTGTTGTCAGGATAGAAAATATTCTCCCGAGTGAATTTGTCCTGAGGAAGAGTTGATTTGCTAAGAGAAATAAAATATACAAATAGTGTTCCCTACATTTGTTTCCCTACATTTACCCTAATTTGTTCTTACAGCAAAATAATTTATATATGGAGCAAAGTAATTCAGCGAATGACAATTGGTACTCTTAACAAATCATTTTACTAACCGTATAATAACTGACAGTTTTTGGTGCGACAGCATACAATTTGCGGTACGACAAATTATTTTTCTCCTTGTAGAGCGAAACAAAAATATAACCTAACGTTGAGGGGAAAAGGAACGAAGTTCCAATACAGCACTAATTCGGCTAAAACGAACAGGCCTGATAAAACGATCCGTACAGCACTTGAAAATGAATTTTGGACGGTCTTGAACATAAGGTCTAACTGTGAATTATCAGCGGTAAATTCCTTGAATAATTTCAGGGTACTACATAGGAAGAAACATTTGTTGATTTCTTTGTATTCAGACAGGCGCTGCGCAGCACGGAAGATTCGGCTGAAAAAGATCTCTGTGCGTTCACCTTTGTCGCGGAGCCCTCGTTTAACTCTATCAGGCTCAGATGGGCTACTGTTACAATCTCCAGTTCGAGAAGAACAAAATCGCGCCACGTCATACTTTCACCGGTGACGAGTGGATCCGCTTCCGTACCAGCAATTGAAAATATCATCAAAGCGTTTACGGGAATGCATACGTGTCGTGCGAGAGATATCGGAAAGTGAAATGGGCGCGTACCTTTCAAATGTCCCTAGACAACACAACGTCCAAAACTATAAAACGCCTTTACATCTTCAAGACGTCTTAAAGACGTCTGATGTCCGGACTTTTGGATATTGTGTTATCTGAGTTAATTAGCACGCGGAGTAATCGCGGTGGAACGGATGTTCGGATGTTGGACTAGCTGAGAACTTCGACCGACGAAATTGTTCACCTTTCTAATTGCGACAAAACGTTGTGTTATATGCAAAACAGAGCTACTGGGGATTTGGTAACGCGGATTAACATGAATAAACGTGCCGAAAGCGACGACGAGGAAGATATAAAGAAATAGGAACAACGAAGGTGACTCAATGCGATTTAGCAAGGATATCGAAAGAGCGCCTTGGCCTCCCGAGTAGTACTTCAGAATAATAACGAGAAACTTCGATACGTCGCTCTCTTCTTTCCTCCCGGTCATTTCCATAGATATTATACCGAGGTCATACGCAGTCTGTATTATGTGAGGAATTGTGCAAAGATTAAGATAGCGAGATAACATCGGTAACCAGCGACTAATTATGCCCTCATAATCCTAAGTTTTTAATGTGAAATCGAGAGATACATTCGTTCTTTGTTTTCGTTGCCGGCCGGTTGCTCGCTGATTGGAACATTCGGTAGAAAAAAGATTGCGATATCCTCACCTTGATGAATCATAGAATACATTCAATATTCGAGGAATATCCTCATTAGAAAATTTGTCTTCCGTGAATAATCAAGAGACAAATTCTCCTACTGGATACGCCGAGAGAATACTGTAGCTTTTTTTATACAAATACTTTTGTTCAATTTTGTAAATTCTTTGAATTTTTATAAAATCTTTACAACTTTGTATTTCCAATTTTCTAATAATGCAAGAATAGACCCGTGCACAGTTGGCTGAGAAACGTAATAATTTTTTAATCAGCAGATTTCAGTTCCAGAAAGATAAATAATAACGCATATAAAATGTAAGGATAATAAATTAAGACGAACTGTCGATATGTTTCTCGATTATAAAAATACACTGTAATTTGCACTGTAATTTTTATTGTAACTTTCAAAATTCATCCCGTGCAACACTGTCTCAACGAATGTCTCAATGTATCCATATATAAGTGCGTTGCAAACTTCATTGAGAAAAAAAATGTGTTGCAACTTTCCTATCACTGACCAAGAATAAATTTCTAGAATATAAAACTGATATCGGAATAAGCGTCGCATACGAGCCGTTCTTTCTCTAGCGTCAGTTATATTGGCGTTGGAAATGCGTTCATAGAGTGAATCCTCTGCGTGTCATTCGACGGACGATTCTATGGCGAAATGAAAAGAAAATCAATATAAATGAGCGACGGAATTTCTGCGGAGACTCCAATTGCGATCAATAGAGTTTCTGGTGTTGCTGCATATGCCAGGATTTTTGATCTTACACAAGTTAGAATAAATAAATCTTCTTTCGTCATAGCAGGAAAATAATTGCTTCGCACAGAAGCTCTGCTGTCGTTCCAACTTGCTGACAAGTAACGAGCGGAAACGTCGAGGGAAGAGAATCAATTCATCAACGTGAACTCGCAATCGCTCGAGCACGGAGAAATTAGTGTGTTGTAAAGTGCGGCTTAATAAATATATAATTGAATGGATAGCAAAGGTGGTGTGCGACATATGTCTCTATATGTCTGATGGCAGATCGAGAGATCTTGTCTGAAGGTTTGGTAAAATGGAGTGAAGCGTTCCGTTTTAGAGATAATCGTTTAAATTTGACCATTGCACAACACACACACACACACATATATATGTACATTTCTAATATATATATATATATATTTCTGGAACTGAAATATATATATAAAATTTGTGACATTTTGGCGTACGTATTGAATGAATGCCGGAATACATATGTCGAGAACATGGAAGATAAATATTTGAGACGCATAATTTTCGTTTTGTGCTGAATTTCACATTTCACCGCGAAATATGATGGTACTTCAAATAACGTTGTTAAACGTATCAGCAGCAAACACGATATACCTATCTTCGCTATCTTAGGCTTGAATTTTTCAAAATGTAACCTTGAATCAAATAAAGTGAAATCTCCAGCTAATTGAATCGCAATCTCGATAAGAATGACGAGAAATTCCAATCTCAACGAGACATCCACACCGCAAGAAATGAATGATTCAACCATAAACAGACGCGTGCAATAGTGGCATAATAAAAACCGCGTGCAAAACTTTTGCAAATGGCTCAAGGCGATTTCTAATGTAATTATATAGGCAGTGATGCTTCCATATATATACGAAGGATGTAATAATAACATGTAGATCATCTCAAGAGCGGTGGTTGGTCATGCGCTATTCTAATTGCTCTTTCCTCACTACAAATAGTCCGTTACAAAATAAATAAATAAATCGCATATAATTTATGTGTTGATAAGCACATATTTACGTGTCGATTAGTTAAAACACGACGTTCTATTTCCTATTAATTGTAACCCTGCTTTTTTCCGCAACACATTATTATTATGTACGGCATTTTAGATTATTATGATCATCCCGGTTCTGAAGTTCAAAGTGCGAGAGCGAGAGAAACGCTGTGCGATGTCTAGCGCTAAGAGGCTCAACTAAATGTAGTGACACGCCGTATTAGCATCTATCATAACCTACGTGAGAGATGCATTACATGTCCGCTTTTGTGTAATTATCTACGGCGACATCGATTAATGCAAATTGGTGGAAATTTACATCTAATGATTCATTTCATCAGAGAAAAAGTAAAGTTTCACCGCTGCAGTATTTACCGTCTTGTGATCCGAGTAAAAGTAATGGTTAGCAACGCATGGATAGATGCGATAAATAGTAATCATGGATGTGTCCTCGTAATTATCAGCGACAGCTTCAAGTAATTATCAGTTGAATAGTTCGCTAATAGATCTTTATCGAATTACACGTATAAATTTTAAACAACAATATTGCGGACCTCGTTATCCTTAGACAATCATCTTTAGACGTTGAATCGAGTTCTTCTCCATAATCATTCATCCTTCGGTTGCGCAAGATTTTGCTCGTAACTCAAGGATTATACGCGTGTTACATTATCCACATCACATGATTTGATCATTAATTATTGACTCCATCGATAATGTCCTCAGTACTTCCTATCGTGAAAAGGACTTCCAATTGAGACGCAAATGATTGAATAAGAAAGAAGCAAAACACAATAGGATTCAATAAAAAATAAAATAAAACTAGAATAAAGACAATAAAATAAAAAATAAATAAAGGATCTTGTTTACTACTAAATACGTTTACTATTAAATATGTACGAATATTATTTACATACGAATTTATATACGAATATTATCATATACTAGACATTGAAGATGAACTAATAATGTCAATAAGATATATCTTTTTTACAACGATTTTCATACGATTTTTATAAATATATTTACATATGATTACTATTAAATGTCACTAATACAAATTATATTTTGAGATTGATATGAAGAAGAAGGAGAAAAAGGACTCGCAGTGAAAATTTCAAAGTACATTACGTAACAAGTACGTACAAAGTACGTCACTTGCAGAAAGAAATGTCTCGAAATTTTGAATACAATTTGCTACATTGCCGAACGAGAACACAAAATAGCTCGATTACGTCCATGAGCTTGTTTACTACGCGAATCATAACACGGACGTATCTGCCAGCGAAATGCCCATGTTCAGGTGGACGGACCGAAATTTATGGATGTGGTCGATCCCTTCTTCAGGACGTCGTGACAGAAAGAGAGGACGAGAGGCCGTGGACATAAGTGTAGCGTGGAGGTGGTGTCGAGCCCCTCCTTCTAATAAAAGCCGCTCACTAAGCGCCGCTACACAGACAGTAACAGAAAACTCCGAAGAGAACGTAGGAGCCGCCGAGAGCTCCTTCAGGGCACTGCGACGACGTACAAACAATATTTCTTTTTTTTTTCTTTACGAAAATTCCATCAGTTCGATCTCACGACGAGAACCGTGCGACGGGTATAATATCTGTGCGTGGTGAGTTCTCAACACAAACAGCCTCGTCTTGCCGTTTTCTAATTCGTCCGGCGCGTTTTTGCGGACGATCGCAACGAACTCATCTTCAGTGTCTCGTGGCTAAATCCGACGACCACGTGGCGAGATGGTGACAAGTGGAACGTTTTGCGAGTTTCGCGTGTTCGCGAGCACCGAGTGTAGACGATAGATCGATTTCCTTTCCGTTCCCTGAGAAATTCGCTTCCACCTGAACGCGTCCGATAGCATAATCATTGGTCGCAACGTTCGGTGAAAAGACTCAGCCGATTCCCCCCGGGAATAATCATTTTTCGACGGCGATGTAACGGCGAATTGACTTTCGTAAATTTCATTTGCGCGTACGAGCGCGGCACCGAAAGGAAGTCGATGAAGTGAAAATCTTCCTGAAGCGAGTCTTACCAGAATAACAAGTTTCAGGTGAAAATCGAAACTTGCGTTGATCGTCGTGCGAACTTGATTCACACGTGTCTCGGGGAAGATTGTTTCTTTTACTTCTCGCAGAAGAAATTCCTTCGGGAAAATTCTTTTGATCTTTTCATTCGGCTGTGAAGTCATTCGTTACGCTTTCATCTCGCGTGAAAATCAGTAAACCAAGTCCTTTGAATGTTCTTTGAATGTTCGATCATAATGCTTCATTTCTGTTATCTCAATTACGACTTTCGATCGGCATCTTCGAGCGAATCTTTTCCTTGTTGTTGTGACAAGAAATTTTCGAAATGTTCTCATTTTGCACAGACGTATAAAATATGTTTATATTTCTGCATTATCATGTCGTAGTCGGATTACAATCTCTGCCGAATGAAATTGGAAGTGATCGAAAATACAATTATGCGACCTCGAAGATGCAATATTGCACCACCGTCCCTGAACAGAAGGGATACGTACTGAATTTATATTGACCCGGAGCTATTATCGTCATACTTGATAGTCGGCGTGCCAAATGCACGATTATCTACTCGCACGTGGCATATATTGGCAATCATTAAAATTGCACGCGCATCGATGACATTAATCACCTGGCAAAGCCGACATTCAAGCTTAATTCGACGTCCCACGTTTAATCTGAGAAAAACCGCTTTGTTTCCGTTCAATTAAATTCACCTAAAATAATTGGATACATTTATCATTAATTGGACGTTCCCATGTACCGCTTAATCGGTCTTTATAAGTGCTTCCCATTTATAAATTCGCAATGTAGACTCGTACATACACGGCTCGCCTAATTGCGAGGTGCGAACACAGTAGAACGAATTTTCTATGCAGAGAAAATCATTACACGAGCAAATTAAGATCCACGATGCGGATGTGACGCGATGTTTTTATTAAAATCGCGATTAATTGCGAAGCGTGCGCTATCGCGCCTTTCCTCCCGCGCCTGGAACGTTCTCTACTTTCATTCCGTCGAAAGTGATAGTCTCGAACGGATCCATGCTCGAGAAAGGAGAGTCATTGCGCTTTTCTCCCTCCCTCTCCTCCCTCCCTCTCTCTTTCACGCGGGCATCTCCTACCTCTTCATCTGCTCCGTCTCTTCGCGATTCTCGCGAAGCAATTTCCGGCTTGCACGTCCGACCCGTGGCACGCTTCGCGTGTCAAGATGCACGTGAGAGATAAGCCGAACAATACTTGGCGAGCAGTGCCATGAAACAAATAGGTTCACGGCCGTGAAAAGTCTCTCACTGTCATTAGAGAGACGCGCATTGTTCGCGGGCATATTTATTCTCATTGACTCCTCTTGAGCCCGAAACCATTTTCCCGAACAATTCAGGGAAGTTCGTAATAGTTCTCGCGGAATCGCAGCCGTCGCAATGCGGTTTTGATGGAAATTATCGCCGAATATCCGCGAGAAGTAACGGGACAGTCGTGTGTTCAACGCAGAAAGTTGCAGTTCACATTGTCGCGACACCTCGGCGCGCCTTGCGATAAACTTGCAATCGTGAGACTTAAACACATGCATACACGTACAAATATATATCGTATGTGTAAAATATATTTATATAAATATATATTTGATATATAACACCACGCACATATACGTACGTATACAAATATGTTAACGGAGCGTTATTATTTTTGCAGAGTCATTCACCCGAGAGCAAGATGAGATATATTATTCTGACACTGGCAGCTGCGCTTTGTCTCGCATTGGTGAGCTCACATCCGCTTCCGGAAGACGGGCTCCGATCGGAGGTAAGCACGTGAGAGGCGCATCATGTGCCTCGTGTGCACCTTTCTCTTTTAACACCCATCGTCGCCGTTCGCCGAGATTAATTCGAGGAGAATTAACCGGCCGCTCTTCTCTCCTCTTTGTTTTACCGCTTCACCGCCTAACACGAATTCTGCACGTGGCATGCTGGCTACTAACTCAAGGTCGAGTCCCAGTGGGACACATGAAAATTCCTCCGCCGATAATTAGGCGGTGGTATCGCGGCTCGATATGACGACGAACAAACGTCGTTCGGTTTTCGCGTGCGATTATGCAACGACGATTACACCGTGACTTTCACCGTGTCACTGGGTCGCAATATCGATATTTTTTTTTCTCTTTCTTTCACCAACTGACCCCGTATCCATGTTTCCTGCCGTTCCTTCGGCCGTAGGAGAGAAAGTCTGATTTGCATTGCGAAAATCCGAGCCGAGAAGGGTTCCGCGATGCTCCGATGCGGCGGAGCCGAGACACGTGGAAATTACGAGCGGTTATTAATCATCATACCGTTATCCTAGATACACGAACGACTATGTAGGCGCCGGCAGTGATCGCCTCTCGAGCTCTCGCGAAAGTCGAGTCGCCATTCGAAGGCATTAAACGCCCGATCGCTCTACCGAATCGATCGATTCGGTGGCCGCGCGGATGATGTTTCACTTTCGACGAGTCTCTCTTTCTCCCGCAACAATGCCGCTGCGACGAAAAGCGGCATAACGCCAGCCGGACGGCAATTCGGCTTTTACGGCGGTCTACCTATCGTTGCCTGCGGTTTATGGAGCCGCAAACAAGCGTCTGTTTATTCAACAATATGGTATTTGAAAACCGGTCGCCGGGTAATTGCGAGCTTTTCTTCGCCCGATCGTGTCAGTAAACGCATTTTGTTGCTGTTGCACTATTAAGGCCGGCATCGTTCGCGTGAATAGACGGCGGGTTTGCCTTTGAATCGGCTGGGATTCGTGCGAAAGGTTGGTCGAACAAAGTTGACCTTCTGTATCGACGGAGATACAAAATCGAAGTAATTACAAAGTTATATTGTTAGAGGCGTCCGTAAGGAGAAAAAATATAAATATATAGTATTTTCTTAGGCTCAAGTTTTCATTTCCCGGTTAACCTGTGGTTTAGGCTTAACCTGATGATATAATGTAAAAATTGTTTTTCTATTCATGGTTGATCATTAAGCTGTAAAAGTTACCACTACAAGGCCATCGGTTTAATGATTCAACATGAATAGAAAAGGACAATTTTTGCATTATCATCGGTTTAAGTCTAAACCGTAGATTAATGAAAAAAATGAAAAGCCGAGCCTCAGCGCGCTGATTGAGTGAAGAAAAAAGTATTCAATTTATCGCGTCGTTGATTAAAATCTAAAAGCCCCATCTTCGGATGTTTCGATACGTTTCATTCTGAAATATACTCGATCGCTCATCGGATAATCCTGATATTACATCGGTTTCCGAGTGCGAAAACCTTTTTTCGCACGAGCGCTCTTAACAACGACGTAGCAAAGGGCTCCCTCATTTCCGAAGACTTTCCGGTGATATTTCAATGAAGCTACGTTAGGCTTGGCTTTTCGTAAACGTGGCACAAACGAGCGAGAAATCGCGATTACCGTCACGTCATTACATGACTTTGGAAATCGCAAAGTCTCGCCTCTCTCGCAAGCTCTACACCTCGTCTACGGCCGTTGTTTGAACTTAGCGTTTACCTGGTGATTTACTTATAATTACCGCGCTTTGCGTAACCGCTGCTACAGTTTGCGACCGTGGTAGCATAATGTGTGTACGTGCGCGCGCGGAAGAGCGCGGTCGAGTTACATGAGCTCGCCGGTACAAAGGGAGTTATTCATATGGAAAGCATTTTGCGCATAATACCGGGGCATGCGCGTCCGTCGAGAGAAGTCGATGTTTAGGTAATGCGGCCGTAAAATAAACGGTGTAACCCTCAAAGTATATAGTCCGACGAAAAGCCGGCTCGTCCGACCGGCTCTCGTCTTCGCTCCGACACTTTCACCGGCCGCGAACAGCGTCCGGAGTTACCGGACACTTTCTTCGTTCGATAGGCGCCCAATGGAAAGCTGATGCGTACGCGCATGTAATGTTACGATGTAATCCGCAGAACACCGTGTATAAACAAACAAAACCTCGGACCGGCTCTGAGAGCCGTGCTTTTACGCGGCCGACATCTCGCGATGCTGATATCGGACTGACGGTGAAGTTCGTTTGTCGATTTTTTAAATTAAAATATGCACCCGCAACATTTAATTATTTTAAAATACAATCAATCAATCGGGCATGCTGCGTTCGTTGACTCGCCCGCGTTCGTAGAAATTCTACACGGAATAAAAGCGCTGGATTCAGGTAAACCAATGACTCCGATATTCCTTGGCAAACTTTTACTCGGATAAAATTTACTTAATCCGAATAAGAATTTGCTAAGAAGTATCGGAATAATTATCTACGTGAATCTCGGGCATTTCTTTTTCCGTGTATACAGAGAAAAGTAATTTGCTGGCACGGCATATTTGTTTTCTCTCGTTTTTAAATGAAACACCAAGCGGTGAAGATATCAACCAGAGACAAATTGCAAATTGTAATTCAATCGTTTTCCTTTTCAGTTGATTAATCAGACATCGCTATGCAGAATTTCTCCCTCTTCTTTCTTTCTTAATTCTTTAAGATTATACGCTCGAGCGTTTAGAAATCCAATTATCGCGCGGAATAATCCGGCTGAAGCTGGAAGACGACAGAACGAGGACGAGTATCGCGAAGACGGCGCGAATGCGAACGAGGTTTCAGGGAAAGTGAACCATAGCACACGAGTTGAGCAACGTCTGAATCTGACGGCCGTACAGTGGCCAATCGTGCGAGCTCGGCCGATTTTCTGAGATATATTATTCGCAATTAATGCGAACTACACGAGAGATCGTGGAATTATCTTATCGTCACATCGAATTAGCGTATTTGATGCGTAAAAATACGAGCGTCGACATGTCGACCTTTTCGCGAACAGTGGACACATCTGTGAAGTGGCATTCCTATTTCGTAGATGTTTCGCCACTTATTTACCATATTCATGCTAAGATCTCTCTCCTTTCGAATTTTAATTCGACGCTCATCAAACGTATTCTTCGTGTGAGATTAAAGTCTGCGTCATTTATTCGGAACGAGGTTGGGGTCGACAATCGATGCCGTTCATCAATAATCCGAGCGCGCAAACGCACACACCAGTGCGTCAAATTTCATTATTCTCATTTGGGAAGCTACTCGTTCGACCTTGAAATTTTCGTGTCAGGCTTCTCGATTTGAACCTTCAAATATATGCCACTAGAGTATTGAATCATGGGACTAAATGTGGAACACCAGTGTAACCGGGGATCCTATAATGCAATGAGCCTCGATCGTACTGCGTACAAATTTGGATTTACCTCGAGATTAGTTAGCGAGCCCTCGCGGAGTAAATGGCGCTGAGTTAATGACCCTCGCTTCGTTAGTGCTTAACATAAAGATCGTTGCAGAATACAATTACCTTAACACCCCCCCCCCCCCCC